CTACCCAAACAAGAAAATTAACGAGTTTTAGAACATGTTCACCAATATCTATTACATCCACTACCACTTCCAGAAAGAAGGGTGATTCTAGAAACAAAGAATACGGAACTTGGAACTTATGCACGAGTTCAGGCATTTTCCTACTCTATCTCCGACCAAACCAATTTCCAAGGTCCGCTTTTTGTTCCTAATCTGGGATTTAGAAAAGATTAAAAAAAAAAAAAAGAAGAAGAAGAAGAAGAAGAAGAAGAAGAAGAAGAAAAGGAAAAAAAAAAAAAACACTTTTATCATTGAGAAAGGTCAGATGCATTATGTTAAAAGCATCCAGATTTAGGGCAAAATTTTCAACCCAAAAAGTAAACCAATCAACTTAGACATTCATACATGAAAAAATAAAGAAAAATCATCAGCTGAGGGAAAACCAATCCTTTCTTTATGGTCATGTCACATGGACAGTGGTAGCACATGGGTAAGACAACCAGTGTGGTTTCTTCACCTGGGCAGCAAGGACACAATGTTGCAGCAACACAGCCATGTATAAGAAAAAGCATAAGAAAGGAATAGAAGATGTTTCTTACCTCAATAGAAAGGAACATACTCTTCTAGCTCCCCCCAAATAGGGGCCTATGAGCCCACCTACAGCCCCAGCTGTGGCTGTAGTAGACTGAACCAGATTTTTTTCAGCTTCTGATGGTTTAACCATTACTGGCTAACCAAGAAGAGGCTGGCTAGAGAGTGCTATTGCCATAGGGACTGGCATTGCATCAAAAAATTCAATATAACTGCAAAGAAGCTGCATTAGCATCTAGATGGTACTAAGAAGGGAAATGGACATTGATTAGATGTGAAAGTGAATACAATAATAAGATTAACAAATGATACTGCCCAGTCTAAACATATTTTTTTTCCTTTTTTGGAGGTGGGTGGGGAATATATTATTAACCACACCATCAAACCCACTAACTTGCAGGGGATACAACAAGCAATAAATGGAATGGACCATTATGACTTATAGAATATACCAGCAGTATACAATTTAATGAACTCGAGTCGTACAATCAAACACTCTCTAATTGTTATTGATCAAATATCTATTAATGCGTGGAAGCACTAGGGAAAGTAAACAACTTCCACTAATAAATGAAATATGAGACATCAAAGCAAATACCATCCTTCACCAAAAAAAAAAAATGTCCTTCAGTTTTTTTCCACAATATTCACCCTTAATATTTTAAAATAACTAGAATAATACAAATCCATTAATAGCTACGCAATGTTTAAAACATTTCTCCATTACCGAAACCAAATTTTAACCAATGCAATTTCATGAAGCCCATCCCCAAAACCAAAAAAAATAATTTGGCGAGTTTACATTGTGTGGGGGAGGAGGGTGAAAGAGAAGGGCAGGGGGTCATCATCTATCTTACAAAGCATTGGACTTGGCCTTACTGCAATTTTGTTAGCCCATAATTACTTGTCAATTTAGCATGTAGACTTTTTCAATATGATTAATGTGCCTTTTGCTCTGTCATCTTCACTTGTTGATAACAGCCTTAGTTGTTAAAAGAAGTGTAGACTTCTATCTTTGACCTCATTACGAGATGACAAACCTCCACTAATGATAGAATTAAAATAGTTATAGCATAATAAAAAATTAAATTGAGATAATTTTTTGGCTATGGAAGGAAAAATTGAACTTACCCAACTCTCTTGGAATGACTTGAATTGCGGTCCATTATAAGGCGTACATCTCAGACCTGGAACTGTAATTCAACGGTATTAGAAATACTCAACACAAATAATTAGTTCACCATCAAACGTAATATACCATCACATATTACGTTATAGCCCCACAGTGAGTAGCCCAAGAAGCACGAAACTTAGGAAGTGGATACATCATACATGACAGTATTGACACGATAGGAAGTGGATACATCATATATGATTTACATTAACACTCTGACTAGCCATACTTGAAAATGACATAAAGGGGCAAAAAAGTGCAAGTAACCATGATAGACTACAATGCTTAGTACATTCTACAGTGATGCATCAAGGCTAACTGAAAATTCATTTTCAAAGATAAATCCAAGTGACAGTATTGGAGAGCAAAGTAATGATTGTTGGGCTGAGGTGCCTAATTGATGTATAATATTCAAATATACGACATATAATAAATATATAAAAACAAGTAATCTATGTCACTTTTAACGTCCACAATTTACAAGAATAGCTAATATATAAAATTCAATAGTATGAATCATGAAACTATTGAAACTATAATTGCAAAAAAAAATACATATCTATACTATTATATAAAGCGCACAACTCTTTGAAACTTTGTCACGAGTTTTTCTATGCCTAGAATACCCTGTCAAATCTCACTGCTTCAAGCTTGGTAACTGCCATAAGCTTGGTAACTGCCATGATTGATCTAATGGCTTCACACACACACGTGGCATGGGCAGTCACTGCCTGTTACGGCTGAATTTCACAAGTGTAACATGTCCAACTTCCGAAAAATTAGAAGCTTGGATCGTCTAATTTTTTATGATGTTAGAAGAAGAAAAGACTTACATTTGATAGTAAAGATAAATTTATAGCCACTCATGTGGATAGGAGATAGAAATCCCCTTTTTCCCCTGAATCCCAATTCCTATTTGATTTCAAATACATTTCTAAATAATTAATATCATATTAAGTCAAAATATTATACAATATGTAATATATTTAAATGTTATATAGCAGATACACCAGAACAGAGTTTGGATACATATCCCTATATACTAATATTTAGAGTTAGGGTGGTCTAATGCTTAGGCACAAGCCCGACAGTTGTACCTGAGTCCATGTGATATAGCATTTTCCCATAGTTCATCAAAAAAATTAGGGAAAATTACATATACCTCCCTCGAGATTTATCTAAATTACAGATACCCCCTGAGATTTCAGAAATTACAGATACCCCCCTAAGGTTTATATTTTCATAACAAATTGCCCCCTGAGGTTTATATTTTCATAACAATTTGCCCCCTAATTTGTTATGCAAATATAACCTTCAGGGGGTATCTGTAATTTCTCAAACCTCAGGGGGTATCTATAATTTTGCTAAACCTCGAGGGGGGTATATGTAATTTGCCCAAAAAAGTAAGAAATTCATAAAGGTAGTACTATACCTGAAAAAATATTGCATTAGAGCCTCGATTAGTTTGTCATCATCTCCCTTTCCAAACAAGAATTTCCTCCTTTCAATCTCAAGATTTGCCAAGTATGGACATCTTGCAGAGTCAGTACTGGCTTCTGCGAATAACTTTTGTACAAAAGCTGGCGCAATTAATATATGAGAATCAAACTGCACACATCCAAGTCACACAAATCAAATTCAGCATAAACTTTTGTGGAAAGAACTGTACCAAACAATAATTTATGTAATGCAAGGATTAAAATGTGCACCACTTCATCTGACAAGTGCGCAAGCTTGCAGTCCACAGATTTTGATGGATGAATTGGATCACTATCAGCACCATTACACCAGCTACTGTCATCCTCGAGCAAACAGCCTAAGTAATCCAGGAAACACTCCTAATCATCAGGGCTGCCAGATAAATAAACAAAATTAATGGTTTGGAATACATGTGTAGATGTAGCATCAACTACATCAGAAAAAGGGTAGAGATGATGCAACCACAAGTCCAGAAAAAACCAATGCAAGAAACCCAAGTTATTAGGTAAAGAATATGCAAAGAATATTGTATGGATGCAACTCACTGTACTCTTCAAGGAAGGATCCCAAAAAAAATTCAGATCATTCTAGAAGAATGTAGGCACAAGATATAACGAATGTGAGGATAGGATATTATTTAGAACTTAACTTAGGCCTCATTTGGGAATTGTTTTTTAAGTGGCTTTTTAACTTTTTGAAAAAAGTTACTGAGATGTTCGATTTTTTTTTTTTAGTGGCTAAGTTGCCAAACAAAGCCTTACTAATCTGTCGAAGGAAGGATAAGGGGAGAACTCAGCTCATTACACCATTAAAGACCAAATTTTGGGACCGCATAAAGTGATTGGTCCATTCAAGCAAGAAATGATGCACCCACGAACAAAGTTAAAGGCACAAAAATGAAACAAACGGGGAGCAACCAAGGGAAACAGAAGCTAGCACATTATTAATTCAATAAGGGGAAGGAGAGATCAAGTTGCTAATTATGAATAAATAAAATCATTGTAAGAAACATTAAAATTATCATAATATCAAATGAAAAATAGGGGGAAAGTGCGGGAGGGGTAGTTTGTTTTCACCAACAGTGTAAATGATTTCTTCATAGGTCTCTGTCCAACTCAACTCAAAGCTTTAAACAAATTGTTTTGGGCCGACTACATGAATTCTATTTTTCCATCTTTAGTTTCATAAACCATAGCCTGCATTAACTTTTTGTGTCTAAGAAGCACATATATGACATGATATGTACACTTCGATGTAGCAATTTCAAAAAATTAAGACCACGCGAGAGGGACACAACACATAAATATAGATTTTTACATATATAAAAGAATAATAACAATTTCTTCAATTTTTACATCGCATATACATTTATATTCTATTATATCAAAATATTAAGAAAGTATTTTTCACATTCTATATATTGAAAAAGAAGTGTGAACAAGAAGTACTAACATCTACATTACCAGGCTATACTCATAAATAAAATGAAAATTTTAGGCTTTAGAAATCCCGAATTACACACCTAAAGGAGAAGGGATTAAATAAAATATATTAAAAAAGGTATATTCTGAATTTAATCATTGGCTTTCAAGTTATTTTCTTCAAAATTGCAATGTGTTCCATGTATGTGTAAGTGATGGACACACGTCTCCTCCAAGTGCCTGCAGTGTGTTGCATGCAAAAGAAAATTTGAAAGATAATAGGACACATTGCGTAGAAATGTCTGCACTTTTTGGTTCTCTTTTATCCTTGCATTTCCTAGATCTCATAATTTTCCTAAACCATGCAATCAATCATCTCTTTTGCATGTTATCTAACCATCTTAATTTGTTTTCTCTCACTCTCCAATGAATTCTACTTGCACAATCTTAAGAAAACACTAATTCCTAATTTTATCCTTTATTGCCTTCCCATACATCAATCTAAAGATCTCAGTTTCTACCATGCTCGCCCCATGTGATCATTGATTACACAACATTCTCTCCAATAGAAAATGGTTCTTTCCTAAAAATTAAATTTTAATTGCAGTTGTATACCTTGAATACATAATACAACTGAATCCCTTCTCCAATTAGACCATCTCTTAACCTTAATTCTATGGTACACATCTCTTCAATCTCTTCATTTATATGAATAATCAAGCCTAAACAACAAAACTTAATATTTGTTCACCATTGTCTTCACTGCTGCCCCACTTGTATTACTCATTTTGCTAGAGGTTATATTGACCAACAAATAATTTTAGCAGCAATAAATTTGACTAGTAAGGATATGTCCTAGAGTAATATGAATATAATCTTCTATTGTTTTTTTGAATGGAATTTGGTGCATATCTATTGTTGCCTTCTCTTTGGATTGACTGCAAGTCAAATTATCAAATATACACTACACTATGTTAATTAGGAGCATTTATATGATGTTAACAATGGACATGATTCTCCAAGACTTGATCCTTTTGCAAAACATCACACCTACATGAAGGGTCATGTCATTTATCAAATTGCCTCAAAACCTATGTCGCAGAGTTATCAGCTTCAATTAGAGCCCAAATATATATATATACTATACTTCACACCATAAAAAAGAATCACTGCAATTTTATGAAAGATTAAAAAATAAAAATTCCAGACTTTCAGTTATTCATGTGTATTAAGCTAAAGAAGACAACAACAATAACCTGTAGTAGCTTTAATACAAGAACTAGTAAGTGCATACCAGATTCAGAGTTCTTTATGTAGTATCAATATTGGTATAGAAATTGAACATGGAGAAAAGAGAGTAATATGTTGCATGCACACGCATGGAGAGAGGTGTAACCATGTGTTTCAATCAAGCATGTGCCATCCAGTTTTTATCATTAAGATTTAATAGTTTGAGTAAATATGCATTTTTGTATAGTTGTAGATATCACAAATTATTCCAAAATGAAAGCATCAGCAGTAATTCCATAATATAAGTTCCTTCACCCCCAAACTCAGATTTACACCATTAATTGGCATAGAATGACTATGTGACTAACCAAACTTAATAAACAACTACCCAACATGCGCTTTATCAAATGATAAATAAATAATCATCGTATTTTGCACATAATTGTCCTTAGTAGTGATTTATTATTATTTGAATGACAGCATCTGGATTCATTTCTCTAAAACAGATAAATTCATGTAAAACCCCTAACTGGTCATTACGACACCATTAAAAATCATATAAAATTTAGTACTAAATCCACTTAAAAAGACATTTTAAACCTCAACAAATGCAATTTCACAGCTTTGGTTGCCGCACCAGTTATGCTAAGCCCGTTACACCTCAAAACCGCATCAATGATGAAGATCATCGATTTATATGAAGATTCCTGATAGTGCTTTATACAGCAAGATTTATATGAAGTAGAGCACTAGTCCTCATTGTTGTTCCTCCGATCACTAGTCCTCCGATGAAGATTCCTCCGTTGACAAATTTGTGATATGTAAATAGAAGTTGTGGTAGTGGTAGAGGAGATGGAGTAGCGATAGTGGAGGAGAGGTAATGGTAGTAGTAGTGGCAGTAGTGGCGGTGGTAGCGGTGGAGTGGTGGTGATTGTGGTAGTAATGATAGTCGTAGAGGTGGAGTGGCAATAGTGGTAGTAGTGGTGGTAGTGGAATGACATTTGCAGTAGTGGGGAAAGTGGTAGAGGAGATGTGTGGTGAGAGAGAGAGATAAATGAGAGACAGATAGAGAAGATAAACAGAGAAAGAGACAGAGACAGAGTGATAAGCGAGAGAGACAAAGTGGTCGCTAAAAGTGCATTTTCTTGTATTGGATAGATAAGTCCAGAGGGAGCTTGGTAAAAACCTTAAAGAATGAAGGAAGAAAGTGAGCAAGGCGAATAAACGAACATATATTTGCAATTGATCAAACAAACATAAATATGAAGTACCAACACAAAATACTATTCGAATTACCAAATCTGGAAATTAACATATGCCCAGAACGAAATATGGTGGCTAAGAGAGAGAGAGAAATATATTAGAGCATGATGGCAGGGAAGCAAGAGAGGATGAAGAGAGACAACAAAAGCAATGGAAAACGGGCTTACTGGTAGGATTGTCTGGTGGTAATGATGGGTCGTGCGAATGTGGGGATTGTGGCGATTGAGGGGGTTCCGCTGTATTCAGAGAGACGGTGCCAACGGTGGCATGGTGCCGTAGTGATTACAGGGTGATGAAGGTGTGTGAGGTAGAGATTGGTAAGAGAGGGAGTTGATTTGTGAGAAATTATGGGCAAATAATATGATCTAAAGAAAGAAACATAAATCAACTTACCTGGTCAGAATAAAATACTCTGAATTCGTGAATCGGCAGTGTCGACTTTGGATTTCGGGCGGTACAACGGTGGAATGGGAGCAACAAAATCGTCCGTGAGGGAGGAAGAATGAGAAGAAGTAGTTGTGTGTGAGAGAGGAAGAGAAAGAGACATGAGAAACGTAGGAGGGCTTAGGGGCAAAACTTGAAGGGTCTTAAATTTTGAAAGGGAATTTCAAATTAAAGTAAAATTTTGGTAATTACACACATTATAGGATTAATTAGACAACAAATTAATTAAGAAAATTAAATTATCATTAGCTAATTTAAATGATAGTGACAATCACTTGTTTTCCAACGAATTCATTGATGACATCTCTCTTTAACTCATAAGTTTTCCATTTACTCACTAGTTCATCTTTACCTTTAATTTTGTAATTTTTATTTCTTTAGTAGAAATTTCACTTTTTCAATAATTTCACCTAAATAATAAGGTTAAATTTCACTATTTAAAGATAATGAAATTTCATTACTTGAAATGATGGTATGTTTTACGATAACGATGACAAGGATTATAAAGGTAGTGGTAATAACAATGGTGGCTTAATGGCTACAACTAAATTTGAAGAATCAGGAAAGGAAGACCTACCACATGCCTTGGAGCATTGTGTTCTTATACACTATTTGGGCAATCTAGAAATATAGAAACAATGTGGTCTTCAGACAAGAGGATGAAAATGTCTACGAAATTATTAGATCCATTCAACACCGAGCCACAGAGACATATGAGGCATTCCAAACTGATCACTTTACAGACCAACCTCTAAATCACAGAACTAATTGGGTTTTGCCTTTTGCAGGGGAAATTAAACTCAACGTTGACGGTTGTTCAAAAGGCAATCCGGGGCCAGCTGGATATGGAGGCCTTTTCAGGGATGAAAGAGGAGCTTAGCTTCATGGATATCATGGAAAATTTGAGGAAGCAACTAGCATGGCGGCTGAGCTCTGGGCAGTTTACCGAGGCCTCACAATAATGCTTGAGAAAGGAATGAAGGACACATGCATTGAAACAGACTCAAAACAAGTTGTTAAACTCATCAAGGATTCACCATCTCAGCACTTTCAGTATAGGGCTCTGCTTGAAGATGCTAAGTTTCTAATACAAAGATGCAACTGCACAATAGCTCATATACGTAGAGTGGGAAACAAGAGTGCGGATGGTTTGGCAAATATGGGTGTAAATCACCAAGTCCCTTTTATGTTTCTTAATGATCCCCCCCACTGAGATTGCAAATCTGCTTGTTGCAGACGTCATTGGGGCTTCTTCTTCTCCTTCTACTATGTAAGGCAGCTTTGCCTATTTCTCTGTTTTGTCTGTTATCTCTTTTTCTTATGAATCAAAATACATAAATAAATAAAAATAACAATGGTGGCTTCATAATGGTGGTGGTGGTGGTGGTGGTGCTAATAGTGACAGTGATGCTGATGATGGTTGCAGCAACATTAGTGATGATTGTAGCAATTGTGAGGTTATAATGACGTACGTTGATGCTTGTGTATAAATATTTACAAATTCAATTAGCATTAAATAATTATGTAATTTTATGTGAGAAATTTGTCATAATTTAAATGACTTTTATCTTACAAACTCAATTATAATTGGATTCAAATGAATTGGACAAAGGGTACCGCCTCTTACGCCAACACCGCAAAATTATGATAATAAATTTTAAATAATATATACTTTGCAAAAAAATATAAAAATTATCATTTAGAATTTTCTTGACACTATGAATTATCTTCAAAGTAGTTACACACTATAACAAATTGCACATTTGAAAATTAATTTTTTAATTGTTAAAAATCATTTTTAGTTGACGAATGTAATTCCCACTTAAATTATCACCCAATTGGTCATTGACTAATTGTCGGGAAAAATATTGGTGACTAAAATTATTTTAGTAGCCAAAGAATACCATTCGTCGACTAATAATTTAGTCGCCATCATTTTTTTTATAAATTTAATTTGAACTTTAATCGACTAAATTGTTAGTCGTAGATAAATTTTATCACTACTATGTTTTATTTAGTGATTAAAATATATAGTCGCCAATTCTTTTTTCCATTATCAGTGACAAATTAATTTTGTAGCCAAACATCTAATTGACTCCTTTAGCTAGCAACCAAGCTTTTTTGTAGGCAACAAAATTGTAACTTTTTTGGTGACTTAGAATGTTTAGTCATAAAAAATATCGACAATTTTTTTGGCGATTAAATTTTTAGTAGGCAAAAACTTCAAATTTTTTGGGCTACTAAATATTTAGTCACAAAAAAAAAATTATTTTTCATCTTATTTTTATTTTTTACTACAAATTATTTAGACACCAAAAAATATTTTCTTTATTTTGGCTACCAAATATTTAATCGCTTTAGTCACAAAAAGAAATTTATTTTTCGTCTTTTTCTTTTTTTTACTACAAATTATTTAGACACTAAAAATATTTTCTTTCTTTTGGCTACCAAATATTTAATCGTGAAAAAGCCTTTATTTCTTTTTGGCTACGAATTGGTTAGTCACCAACTTCACTTCTTTTTAGCTACTAAATGTTTATTCATCAAAAACTTTCTTTACTTTTTTTATTTTTATTTTTATCTTTATACACACATATATATTTATTTCGCCACAACCTGTATTTATTTTGTGCAACCTGTACCTTGTATATAAAGAAAATAATAACAATCAAAGAAAATTTAACTTTTAGCATCAAATTCGAAATATAATAGAAATTCCATACGAATCAAGCATAATCCAACCTAAAATAATAATTTTATACAAAACAGAGGATTATACAAAAATCATGTCTACCGTACACAAAACAAAAATAATATCCACAATACCATGTCAAATGATAATCTATACCCTGCCAAAAGTAATATGTTCTATGCCAAAAGCAATTTGTACCATGCCAATAGTTATCTGTATGAATAATAGTAATCCAAAAATCATGTGTACCGTACACAAAAAAAAAAAAAAATCCACAATACCATGTCAAATGATAATCTATACCATGCCAAAAGTAATATATTCTATGCCAAAAGCAATTTGTACCATGCCAATAGTTATCTGTATGAACAATAGTAATCCAAAAAAAAAAACAAAGGACAACATAATAACGGATTATAAAAAAAACAATGTCCTCTGTACAAAAATAAAGAATATCCACTTTTTCACGCCAAAAACCATCTGTAAAAATAAAATTAACCATTAGTATTGATTGGATAACATCGTCATTTCAAATTATAAAAGAAAATTATATAAAACTCGAATGTATATTATCTTTTCAAAATTATATAATTATAGCCGTAATCATATGTTGCATGTCCAAAAACGTTTCTACTAAGTTTTCCCCTCCCGAAATGCAATTTTTCAGTTAAGTTTAAGGCAATTTGGCCACGGTTTAGTATTTGTTACAACTGATGGATCCTTTTGCGACGGATAATTTGTTTCTGTTGCTAATGATAACGCCTTTTTGCTCATTTATCAGCAACAGTCATTTTCTGTCCCAACAAATACTATTAGCGATGAATTATTTTATCCATCTCAAATGTGTAGCTTTTGCGACGAAAATCAAGGTGTCGCAAAGAGTTATACTTGGTTTTTACGACGATTTTTAAACTATCACAAAAAATTCCGTGTCTAAAGCTCCTTTTTCTAGTAGTGGTAGTATTAAGATATTTTCTTCACTTAAAATATTATTCATGTGACATATTATTATAAAAATAATAATTAAAAAAAAAGGCTTACATGGCAATAAACAACCAGTGGAATGACTCACCTAAAGATAATGTACACCATTAATTTTTGTTGGTGTAATAACTAACTCAAAGATGGAATTTCCATTGGATTTCTTGAAATCTGGAAACCTAGAGGAGCTATTTGTGAAATGTATGAACCTCCAAGAACCTGCATCTCACATGGCCAAACAAGTATATAATAAGATCCAGAATAAGTACCAAGTAAATAGGGTTTATGAAGTACCAAGCAAAGAGCATGTATTATAAGGGCAGTACCATACTGGTATCATACTACCCAGACAGTTGTGCGGGTTTAAAATCTTGGTGTGTGGTTTGGATGAAGGGCTGCTGCTGTTCAAGGCAAGGTGTGGCAATGTAGCTCAAGGCAAATTCTGCTTTATCTGTTCTGTTTTGGTGCTTCAAGGGCTGCTGTTCTGTTTTGGTGTTTTGAAGGGTTGGTGCAGGGTCTGATCTGATGGGTGCCTAAAGGTGTGCTGTGTTGTTTGTTCTGGTTTTCGTGCTCTCTTGCCTAACATATCTGCTTTTCTTGGTTTTTTTTCTCTCTATTTTGTTTGCTCGTTGGTTTCTGACCAACTAGGAGGTTGGAGCTTGATTTAGCTCCAAGCTCCTCTTTATTGATGTAATTTTCCATATTCCATCAATAAAGTCTTCTTTTTGCTGATCAAAAAACATACTACCCAGATAGTTCCCCACAAGCATACTACAACTCCGACAACGGTTTCCTACCAAATCTCACATGGCCAAACAAGTATATAATAAGATCCAGAATAAGTACCAAGTAAATAGGGTTTATAAAGTACCAAGCAAAGAGCATGTATTATAAGGGCAGTACCATACTGGTATCATACTACCCAGACAGTTGTGCGGGTTTAAAATCTTGGTGTGTGGTTTGGATGAAGGGCTGCTGCTGTTCAAGGCAAGGTGTGGCAATGTAGCTCAAGGCAAATTCTGCTCTATCTGTTCTGTTTTGGTGCTTCAAGGGCTGCTGTTATGCTTTGGTGTTTTGAAGGGTTGGTGCAGGGTCTGATCTGATGGGTGCCTAAAGGTGTGCTGTGTTGTTTGTTCTGGTTTTCGTGCTCTCTTGCCTAACATATCTGTTTTTCCTGGTTTTCTTTTCTCTCTGTTTTGTTTGCTCGTTGGTTTCTGACCAACTAGGAGGTTGGAGCTTGATTTAGCTCCAAGATCCTCTTTATTGATGTAATTTTCCATATTCCATCAATAAAGTCTTCTTTTTGCCGATCAAAAAAAATACTACCCAGACAGTTCCCCACAAGCATACTACAACTCCGACAACGGTTTCCTACCAATCCTGCAGTATCTCATGCACATCATAGACAGATGGCACTTCTCTCCCCAGCCACCAACGCCATTGATTTATTACCAGCACTTGGCAAGTACTCCTATCACCCTCAGCATGACAAGCTCAATTTACCTTGGAGAATAGTTTTGTTCAATCGTTCTATGTGTCAAGTCTGCATGAAACTATGAGGCATGGAAACTTGCCTTCTATGGCTAGGGAAATTAGAGGCCAAATAGTACCAAGCAAGCATCATAGAGGACAAAAGACCTCTCACCTTGGTGGTGGGCAGAGATGGACCGACAAAGGGGCTGGTAGGGGCAGTGCAACCCAAACCAAAAAACTCATTAAATATTATAATATGGCCCATGTCGATGTTCATGCTCATGCTTCTTAGCTAACAGTGATGGTAACTCAAAAAAAAAAGCATGCAGCACTGAGCATTGTTGCCCTAGCTCGGCCACCAGAATGTCCGGAACACTAACCCATCTACAGCTCTCTGTGAGACATCACACATCATCTAGTACAACCATCACAACTCAACCTGTGTTATCTTTATAAAGCAGCTTGCTTGACTATTGTTGTCTTCGAGAACATAGATGGTATTCCCCTGGTCTTTGAAGATACTCTGTTTTACCGCGGAAATACAGCATATTACTATATTTTTACATCATCTGTTAATAAGCACTCACCATTAGTGATGCTTCTAAGAGCTCATTTTTTTCTTTCATTTTTGAGGTTTATTTATTTAATTTCCCATCCACCACACATGGCATTTTCCAGCAAATCTTACACCTTCCTCCTTTAACAGCAATGGTAATATTTAAACAAGCTAAAATGGAAAACATTCAGTAGTGGAAGTCATATTACCTGTCTAAGCTGAAATACTGTAATGCTGAAGTGTAAATTTCCCACATACAGTTTTCTATCAACTGCAATATAGGATCCTACGACTGAACCACCACCAGAAGCATTAGTTTGAACAAGGTTCTTTTCAGCTTTTGATGGTTTAACCATTAAAGGTTGTCCGAAAAGTAGGTGGCCAGAGAGAGCTATAGCCATTCGCATGGACATTGCATCATAAAATTCAATATACCTGAAGTATCACCCAAGGACTCACAATAAGTTTGCCAGAACATATGAGACAAAAATACAATTATAACTTACAAAGCATGTATCTACAGAAGGAAGGAAATCAAAAACTCTTTAAAGTGCATATATGCCGAGCTGAATTTCTTCTCTCGTATCTAAACCTCACAAAACACAACATGTCAGCTAATCATGATAAAATACAAACTGAGATAATCAAACATGTCAATGATTCACAAAAAAACATTAAAAAATTAAGAGACTCGGACAGAATAGAAGGACGAAAACCAAGGGTTACAGCTACCCAAAAAAATCACATTAGGTCAATAAAATAAGTAACTTTGTCAGGCCAGATTAATAAGGCCGCAAAGCATGATAGTAGTAAACATTTTCGTACAAATTTCCTTCATAATTGTCTGGAAGAATTTAACGACATGACCTCTAGAGTTGGGATATAGAAGCATGCAAAAGACCAAGTACTACCTTCTAACCACATAGGCAAATTAAAGAGTTCAACCAACTTCTTTATCAATCAACCAAAAAGGTAAAATCACCTTAAATCAACTAAACTAGATAAATTCCTAGGGAGTTTTTTCTCCAACCAGGAAAGGATTATATCAATCAACATAATCTGCCTAGGTAAACATGATATGGGCTTCTAACATAAAGAAACAGCAAACTTAATAGTGAATTGTGAAGAAAACACCTCAGGGCAAACCAATGCAGATGATCCCACAATGGCAGATCACAAAACCAATTGTATGATGATGACAAAAAAACAAAGGAACTAGAAATGGGCTTACTTATTATGAATTAGAAGGAAGAAAAAATGTGAAATTCATTTGATATCTAATCTAGTTATAAGTTTATCTTACAGGAAAAATGTCTGTATCGTATGCTGCCCAAAAGAAAATGGCAGTCATCATGGCCAAGTAACTACCAAGAATGATTCCAGTAGCAAAAATCTCTGACAGCTTCCAGCTGTCTGGCTGAGGAGACGGCTTCACCCTATCTTTTGATATTGCCATAATGGTACCTGGCATGCCATAAAGGGAGTTAAGTATTGAGAACCACACACAAAAGCAGTATTTCAAGATAATGAAGAAAATGAGAAGAAATATGCATGCATGTGGTAACTGGAAAAGGGAATGTGTATTTAGTGTAACAAAATACAAACCATCATTAAGAATGGCAATGATCAGCACCATAAGGGTGGGAAATCGAACTTCCATATGAGGGTGAGTAACATAAAACCAAGCTGTCAAAGCAGAGATAAAAGGGAAGTAAGTAAAAGGAAAACTACAAGCCATGAACAAGAGGATCCATCAAATACTTCATAATAATAATATTAAAAGTGAAAATTAAAATTTAAAAGAGGTTTTTCAATGGTCATCCCAAATTAAAATACTTACCACAATACGGATTGTAATAGAAACAGCATATATTTGTACCAATAGCACCCAAGATATAAATAAAATTAGTAACTTGAATAGTCCTAGCAACAGTTGGCTAACAAAGATATGTTTGATACCTATGGCTCAATGCACACTAAAAGACAAATTTTAGAGTGCGTTTATAAAGAAGTGGAGTAGGAATAACATTTCCCTTATTTTCCTTTTTTTTCAAAAGAAAATAAAGTTAACAAATAAGACACACATCTCCTAGATAATAAAAGGTGTACCATTTCACCATTTGAAAATGTACAGGACTCTCAAATGGCTGCCTCCTTGTCTAGGCCTAGAGCCAGCTCTATTTACCGTGTAATTTTTCATCCTCTGGAAGATAGCTCGACTAGTTAGTACGGCGCTGATGATAACACTAAGTCCAGGTTCAGTCAGGACTATGTCAGAAGCATTGCGAGCAGCATCAGTTGCATCAGCAACAACTATGCCAATGTCAGCCTTTTTAAGGGCAGGAGCATCATTAACTCCATCACTGGTCATTCCGCATATATGTTTTCTAGCTTGCAGACGTTTTACAATCTCATATTTGTGCTCTGTACCAACAAATAAAACATGGCCAATCAAACAAGAATCACAGAAGAAGATCTCGGTGAACATTCAGTGCTGGTAATTCAGTATTCTGTTGTGTATGCAACAATTGAAACGTATTACATAAAAAAAAAAATACCAACAGATTGGTCTTTAGGCCAAGTGGTCTAGCTTCCTCCTTAAAGGAGTTAAGGTATCAAACCTTTCTCACTTGGAAGCTATGCCTAGGGTCTAGGTTTAGATATAGTTAACCAAAAAGTAGAAAAAATATCTTCGACTTACAGGAGGAATGAAAGATAAAAAAATTAAATAAACATTACCAGGGAAAACTCCAGCAAAACCATCAGCTTTTTCAATCAGCTCGTCAACTGGCAAAGCTGCAATTGACTCATCTTTGTGCTGTCCTAACAAGGCAGATGAAGGATACATATTGGTTCCCATTCCCAATCGCCGTCCTGTTTCCTTTGCTATTGCCAGTTGATCACCTAGTGGAGATTGAAAAGGTCAATGCCAATGGGGAAAAACAAAAATGAAAAAGGCCAATTTCCCATAATTGGAGATAGTGAGAAAGAGATGAAATTTTTAAGAAACAGAATTCTGGAAAAAAAAGAAAAAAGATGCAACAAGACTTTTTTCATGGCATAATGCCATCAACTAAAATAGTAAGCGCCCACACTGACAATAACTTGAACTCTGCAGCCACAAATATCTGGTAGGAGTAAATATCTATCTTTTCATCTCATAATTTTTTTTTTGGGTAATGATTAAACAGATCCGATTAAAAGCACTGACCGAGAGTATTCAACAGCAAAACAGAAAGAAATATTTATTAAAAAGAATGAAAAAGAAAAAGAATATACACACTAGTGATCATTTTAACATTTACCCCAGATTCAAAGCCCTTGTAAGACGCATAACCATGTCATAACCATGTCACATACACACCAGTCAATGTTCATGTCAGAAATTTTCTTCACTTTCTTCTCTTGCACCTGTTGAGCTCAAGAAATAACCATCAAAGACACACAAAATTGTCTCATTCAGATATCTACTACATATTTGAGATATTAATCAGAGTGAAATATGTCAAATAAGTGTAACAACCATTTGTTGAGTGTTGTACACATTCTCTAATATAGACTGTTATATAAAACTAGGGGGTGGTGGAGCTGGCTTTAAAGTTTTTGCCCAAAACATAAATAAAGGCATTATCTTCTATTCAACAGATCAACTTTGGTCAACAGAAAATTGGCATTCCTTATCTTTTAATTTTCTGAAATTTTGTAATAAGCTTAAAAAAATATTCACAACTCAATTAAAGCTATATGATAAATTTAAGAAGGAAATCTACGATGAAAAGTGATTTTCATCAATTGTATGAATCTAAAGCAATAAAAGGGAAAAAAATAGACATCAAAAAGAAGTATTTTGAGTCATATATATAAAAAAAAACTCAAAACTTCGTAGTAAATGAAAAAATAATTGACAGCAATGGAGCCATCACAATTGATCTGATTATCTGCTACTATTTATTGCAGTAAGTGGTTTAAATTCAGCCTCAAAATGAGGCTTGGGGTTGATACCTTGGGTTGCCTCAGACAAGGCTTTTTGGATTCTGGAACATAGTTAATCTACAATTGTATACTCCCTTGTGATTACTTTCAGATATGATTGTCAATTTTTCAAGATTCACAGTGATTATACTTTCTTACACATAAATCAACAAGTATCACTGGTTCACTACTAGCATGAATCCCTTCTTATCTGAAGCTTCTGATACAATAAAAACAAAACACAAATACGATACATGCATACTTGTCTTAGGAAATTTCAACAAAAAGTAGTAATGAACCTAACTGTTTGAAGGTACATGACAAGAGAGTAATAAAGGAATGCAACCATGATAAGTTCATTAAAAAACAAAAGAAATGAATGGAAATAAATAAAACTTTGGTCAGCTTCCATAAAAATAAAAAGAAAAAGTCATGCCGGGTTGGGACAGGCAGGACAAGTATATCCAGCTGGAGTAGTGTGTGGAGGAAAAACCTTAATATGTGAACCCAAGCAGCTTGTATTTATAATATCTAATATGAACCCAAAAAAATGTAAGTAATTTGGTATAATTCATTCAGCTCTCATTCAAGATAAAAATTGCATGCATGAGGTTTAACAATGTGCAGGATCACATACGCAAGCAACCAAATCAAATAGTTTGAGGATTGGTCCCCTCTTCAATCGCAGGATGACATAGGCAGCATTTAGGAGGCCAATCATACTCTCCATCTATTACCCATTCTGAGTAAGTTTGGACCTATACAGTGACAACAAATACAACATAAGCCCTAGCGTAGCTATAAATCCTACCATGCAAACAAGAACTCTTGATTAAGCAAACAGCTCCAAGAAAATAAATCATACAACTGAAAAAGAAACTTGTAGTGCATAGGACATAATAAGTAAAGCAGGTATGGAGCTACCGATTTTGTTTATATGTTCAGTAGCTTTACAATGTTGCTAATTTACCAGTTTCTTAATTTTCTTCGTAACTTTTTTTTTTTTATAGGTATGAAGCTACTGATTTTCTCTCTATTGGATTTTCTTTGACTAATTTGCTTCATTTTCTTTTTGATTTAGGGCACAAGGTCTACACGTACATACTTTTATGGAGGCTGGACTATAAGGATAAGGAAGCAACTGAAATATTTCATGATGGGGTTAAATTATGTGGACAGGATTTTGATGTCACTGAAATTGCTACTCATCCCAGGCACAAAAAGCAGATGAAACCCCATCAAGTTGAGGGCTTCAATTTTCTACTGAGTAACTTGGTTACAGAGAATCCAGGTGGCTACATCATGGCCCACGCTCCAAGCTCTGGTAAAGCTTTCATGACAATTAGTTTTATGCAGAGTTTTTTGGCCAAGTATCCCCATGCTAGACCACTGGTAGTGTTGCCAAGAGGCATTCTGGCTACATGGAAGAAAGAGTTTTTGAGATAGCAAGTTGAGGACATTGCACTATGTGACTTCTACTTTGTAAAAGCGGATAATCGAGCATAGCAGCTTGAGGTGAGGTTTGGTGGTGACTGTTCTATGTGTGTAAGAGAGAACAGAGAAGAAAGTGTTTGTGTGAAACAGAGAAGAGGGGCATGCGGTAATAAAATTTATCACCCTTTAGCAACTAAATTATTATTTGTCAACAAATATTAATCAATAATGACTAATCTTTTGTAGTCAAAAACATAATTTCGCTACTAATTTTTTTTGCCGTCGGCAAAAATTGAACATAAAACGACTAAATTTTTTTAGTCACCAAAAGTTTACACCTTCTGTGAAATACTTTCTTTGGACAAATTCTCCACTCAAGTTTTGATGTATTTATCTTCCATATGCCCAAAGACTTTACATTTTGAGCACTTGGATGGAGTCCACAGGTATTCAACCCCAATCTCAACACTCTGATCTTCACATTTGATTAGAAAATCATTAGGAAGAGAATCCAATCCTATTTCCACACATATTTTAGCAAATGAAATTCTAGCACTAGAAATCCTACTAAGCCCATCATCATCCCAATATTCTAAACGAATGTTAAACAACTTAATCCAAATCAAAATTCTATCAAGCCTCTCCTTAGATAATTTCATCATATTGTGCCACTTTTTTAGTACAAGAAAGTGCCCCCCAAAAAACCAGGGTCCATCCTTAACAACATTAGTACTACTTTCCACACAATCAAATAAGAAAAATATAAAACTGGTGGGTAGTAGACAGTACCTCCCTCAATCCCTTGTTCTTCCAAAGATTAAAAGCATAGTTCCTCACATGGTTAAAAATAACTAACTACATCCATGTAACTGAGGCATAGCGATAAATTGCAAATGGTTAGAAATAGGATTATACCACATGTAACTAATCCATCAAGCTTCAATCAGAATTCCTTGTGAAGAAAGACAAGAAGAATAAACTTCTAGTATCTTTGATTAGGGGAAAAACAAACAAAAATCTTAAAAGTTATAGTGCATTCATCAGTTGACATATATACTTAATGTGGGAATTGAAAATATCCTACACCATCTAGGTTGTACAATACATTCATCAATTGCACCACATGCACATATAAATGGATTTGTTAAATAATAATCTAGTTAACAAACACTTGGACTAAGTTGCCCAGTGCCAACGCAAAAAAGAAAAACACTAAAAAAAATCTAATAATGAGTGAAAAATGATACCGCAGCTACGCAGGTTGCATAACCTTAATAAACAGACTAAAAGTTTGAGTCTCTCTTCCTTACCTAACAAAAACATGACAAAGGAAAAGAAAATATGATCAAAACATTTTATAAAAAAAAAAAAGAAAAAGAAAAAAGAAAAAAATGAAGCAAGAAGAGAATAGAGACAGAGGACAGTATATCATGCAACACTAAACTCAGGCTACTATCCAGCTCAATTCCCCAAGGTTTAGTTTGGAAAGCAAAGAGCATGTAGGTCGGGCCTCCACCAAGGAAACATAGCCACTATAGCACTTGTTTATCTATCCTAATAGATGTCCTTATCAAAAAATAAAAAAAAAATTGAATTTCATTAAGGCAGTGTCATCTTACGAAGTGAACAACCTCAACCTCATCATAGGGCACAATCAATGTCAGAAACTATCAAGTTGTCCTAGATACAGTTTAATTTATGAATTCAATTTTATCTTTCATTTTGGAATGGCTTCCCAAAAATAAAAGTAGAGGTGGAGATTATAAAATGCTAGTGGATGAAGTCAAAGCAACCCAACAAAGTGTGAAAACCCACATGCACTTGCTTAGGGCTTTATTTTTCCAGTCAAAAAGTCTTATTCAAACTCGAAAACTAAAGCCATAGTTGTGTAAGTATCAATGCACCTTCCCTATTAACATCCACCCAATCCTAGCTTCATCAAATTAACCTCATAAACCCTAGCTTCATCAATTAACAGCTTTCAAAACTCAAAATTATAAAAAATTAAAAAACCAAAATCAAATCCCTAGAAACTAAAATATTTTGTTACTTTTCGATGGATCCTTTTACCTTTAATTTCCGTTCAATTTCTTATCTTAACGTACTTTATCAATTAGACTAAATTGATATAATTTGAAAATTTTAAAAATTAAATTGATACAATTGAAACTACAATAATCAAATTGACAACAAAGACAAATTACAAGAACTAAAGATATTATTATATCTAGAAAAAATGTAAAAAATAATTAAAAGGGGCAGATTTTGAATATACAATGTAGACTTAAATTTAGTAGATGTAAGTTATGCTCATAATAAATCTAATAAATACATTTGAAATTATAGTTTTTTTTTTTTTTTTTTTTCGTGTGTGATGAATATGTAAAGTTTACGAGAGGATAAGAAACGCTTTTGTGACAGCCAAAAGAACAAGAACCACATGGATACGGGAAGGGGATCCTGTCGGTGACTGATTTGGTAAGAAAATAGAAGCAAGCAACAAATGGATGCACATTTAATAATAACTGAAAACGAAAATGATAGCCGTCTAAGGTCACATGCACTTAATAATTTGGTCGACACTTAGCTCTCATGGTTACGTTAATAAATATCAGACAAATGCACATGGTGGCTTGTTAGCCATTTACATTTATGGTGACACAAAGTTAGGGAAACAATCTCTTTAAAAATTAGAATAAAATTATAGATCTTTTGTCTTCCTGTCATAGATTGATTTGTTCATTATCACATGTACATGTATCACTGTACTACATATAAATTTCTAATTAATTTTCTTATTTCTTATTTATCTGATATTTTTCAATTTTTATTTTTACCTGGATATGTATGCCCATTTAAGTCTTAAAATTTGAAGGAAAAAAAAATAAAGAAAAAACTGCAAGTAGTGTGAAATCTATACGGGGCAAATATGAACAAAGAGAAATCTATTTGGGTTTGTGGAGAATCGTTTTGTCTCATAATAAATAAGGTTGCTTGGAAGTGAAATTTTCTACACACGTGTGTGGTGGCACAGGCTTCGAATGCCATGGAAACATAATTTACATCATAAAGGGGTCATTACTACCATTAGTCTCCCCATTCACTTGAATCTAGGATTGACAAAGGTTTTCATTTAAAGTCAACACATTAATATCTAAAGTTCTCACCATTACATTTGCTCTGATAAATTTGGAGATGCTCAACTTGAATTCCAGAAAATTTTAAGGTCAATCAGTTAGTTTTGGTTTCTGTAATCTAATGGTCAATAATGAAGGTGCATATGGTGTGCAACCTTTCGAGGGTTGCACACTGCAACGTGACCCATATATATTTTTTTTATGTCCTATCACTAAGTTAAAGGACTGTTAACCGCTTAATATTTTGTTAATCAATTATAATTTTTTAAAATAAATAATCCTATATAAATATATATAGATTTTAAGTATTATCTGGGATGATCTAAATAATTATAATTTTTTGATTATTTACGAAAATATAATAGAGAGGTGACATAATTCAAAAAAGATAAAAAGATAAAATAATGTGCTAATATCTAACCTGCAAAAACAAGTTCTTATTATTGATATGGCACTTATGGCTCTATTGAAGTGGATTCTATATTAATTTTTTTAATTTATTATTACATTACATATCAGTTACTAAGAAAAATTTAGTTTGTATATTACTTTTTCAAAAAATTAAAAAATAAAAAAAATCAACCTATTAGATCTTTATACGTGCGAACAATGGCATACATGATTATAAAATAAATAGAATAATATTATCTCAGTCATAATGGGCGAATCTAGCTAGCACTTTCAGTGGATACCCTTTTGACTATGCCAAAAAGAAATGCTGTTTTTGTGCATTAGATTTGAAAGCAAATATGCAAAAATAGGTAAAATAAATTTCAGTACCAAGCAAGGGGTGTGCCATCTCTATCAGAGGACGGTGGAGGAAATTTTAGGTAACTTAGGATGATATTAGAAAGAAAGAAGGGATTTTTCTTGAAACCATATTAATTTTTGATCAGTAAAAAAAGAATTTTATTGATGAAGATAACATACAAGATATGGAGTTACATCAATAAAGATAAGGCAAAGAGCCAATAGTATCAAAGTGAACTCTCCCAATTCCAACTAGGTTGCCACTAGGAGAGACGCCCCATCATATGCAAGCTCAAGCCAAAGTTGGTGAGAGACCAACAAACCAAAAAAAGGAAGAAACAAACAAGGAGGCCTACTGAGGCAAAGCAGCAGAGAAAAATTGACAGCAGCCACAACAGCATGCAGTTTTAACCTTAAAAGTCTTCTCCCTTAATTCCACCAGCGGACCAGCACATAGCAGAGCAACACTTAGAAGCATCAGCAGACTTAGGGGCACCAGCAGACTTCAGCAGATTTTACGTTGTGTTTGGTTGAGGGATTTGGAAAGAGAAAGGGAAAAGTTAGGTGAAATGTGAATAAAATATATTTACATTTCACCTAGTTTCACACACCTTTTCCCTTTCTCTTTCCAAATCCCTCCCCAAATCCCCCAACCAAACACAATATTAGGCAACCATTTTTTTCTAGAAAGCAATAAAATGTACAATGTGCCTTTTCATTTCATGTTACTTTGTTGTTTTCGTTCATAACATATAGAAACCTACTGCTATAGCCTGCTGATCCAAAAATGAAAACCAATCTAATCTAATCACCTATTAATGCTTCAATTCAACTTTATGTACCTCAAAAAAAAAAAAAAACGCCATTTCAAATGGCAAAAAAAAAAAAAAAAAAAAAAAATCGATCATATTCCTTGAGTGCTATGAAATAATCATTAGGACTGGTAACATAAAGAGACATGCTAACAAAATTTTCATTTTAAGGTCTTGTTTGGAACTAGATTTTAAACTGCTTAAATTACATTTTAAGGATTGATTGGTTTTAAACAAGACCTCAATAACAAGCTATTCATCCTCCCAAGATTTCCTACTTTATTATCCCTAACAAAATTTACAAAGAAATGATGTAATTTTTTTAATTTATTTATAGATATTGCCTAAAATTATTAGAACTGGGTTTCTCTCCATCCCAACCCCTCCCAAAATATTAATGTAAAAGATGAAAGAAAATTTTAATTCTTCACTTTCAGAGTAGGGACTTCTATTTTGGAAGGACTACATTGCTTCTGAATACATTTTTTATTTATTTATTTTAAATTTATTCAGATGACGTATTTTTATTTTAATTTTTCTAACACTATAGGTTACAACTGTGTAGATCTCTATTCATGCATACCATGCAAAGATATGATAGATTATGACACAGCTAACAAATTTCCTTCCAGCCTTTTAAGAAAACTATATGTAAGAAGAATTATTAATTATTATTTTCTTAGCTAAGAACTGGGTAGTTTTTTTTTGGGGTTCCGCTAATGCAGCATTTAGCCAGGGATTGTTTGGGCCAAGGTCATTGGCAGCCCACTATAAATCCGAATTAAGCCCAATCCAGAAGGAGCGGGCCTGAAAATAGGCATTCTAGTTTGGGGTAATATGCTCCCAAATTGCATCAATTTGTTGAAGAACAAATGGTACCAAAACGTTTTCTGAACAAAGACATTAATAAGTGTTTTTGGCCCAACTTTGGGGTTTGGGCCTCCAAAATCCAAAATCCAACAAGAAGTCTCAAGACAAAAGAGCCTTATTTGCTTCCATGTAGTCTCCATGGTCTTTTCTCCCACTTGTGCTTCTCTTTCTCATGTATCTGTAGTAGATGTACTGCAATATGATCTGTCATGATGCTTGTTAAGGTGCATACATTGATAAACTATGAATTAAAAAGTAATATTTGGGCTGCCCAAACATTTGAGTTGGGCCTGGTTTTGTTCCGACTTTTTTAGGATGGCAAAAATCAATTTATTGTCGTCTTATTTGGACTTTTTCAATTTTATTTTTTTTTTAAATATTTTTTTTGGGTCTCTTTGCGTAAATATAAAAAGCTCAATTATATTTGAGTCCAAATAAGACAAAAATAAACTAATTTTTCTAGTCCTTTTTAGGCAGACTTGAGCAAGAAGATCAGCAAGAGGATACAAATAAGTCGAGAAGCACACAAACAACAGCATCCAGCAACCAGGGCATATTGGCTTTAATTTTGTCCCATTCACTTGTTCTTACTAAAATACTGCATTAATTGAAAAACATTAGAGGGTGAGAGTATAGCACAAGATCTTTTGTTCTCAAATTTCTTTGTGTTTCACGTCTCAATATACTATATGTTCATAACCATTAGATCATAAGTACTAATTTTCAAAGAATGAAACTGTTGAGAAACAAATGAATTTAAAAATAGAGAGTTTTTAGTGAGAAGAGAAGGACAGATCACCTTGCCACATAAGCAGCATTGGCAACTAGTGCGAAGAAGAACATGAGTGGATTCAATCCCTATATGATTTTTTAGACAAGATCTTAGCTTCATTGGATTAATTAGAGAATATTAATAAGAGAATGAATAATGCTTCAATTATAATCCAAAAGTAAAAAGAGTCACCTCCACACTTCCTCTTTTAATCTGGTCGATGAAAAAACCAAGATTCATTAGACACAAAACATATAATTCAATAAATAAAAAAATAAAGCAAAAAATATTTCAATTGCAACTTACATTTAACCAAATTTGAGGGATTCGACCACCCATGTATATAGCAGCCATCATCCACCCCAACCATTGCCCATAGACGTTGTTCTCCATGCTTTCTTCCTGCTAAATATAAGTAACTTAGTTAGAATCTTGGGATTCAAAATCAATGAACTTTGTGGAGTCACTCTTACTTGTAAGAGTCTCCTCCCACTTAATCCCATGTATACTTGCTTCAAGGCCTTACTTCCTTGAGGTAAGCTTACTGATGTAGCAAGGAATGCTCCCCAACCAGCCTGTAAAAAAAATACAAGTGGGCTGCTATGGGTCATCTGTAAATTTTCACCATTTTATTTCATGGTTAATTATACATGCCACAATTGTAATGTGTAGGTTAAACCATAATTAGACAATTTGAATGCAGCTATGATATCCTGTTTTGATTGACGCATGTTATCACCATTCACTAACATGTTACATGCAACACATAATTAATGTGGCAATTACTAAATTATTGTGAAAAAAAATATTAAAAGTATAGTTCACCTTGATATGTGATTTTATTATTGTCACTATGCTCAAGGTAAAAATATTTGCGACCAATTTTCAGTGAAACATATCATTTTGCAAAAAGATGCCCGAGATTAAGGTGATTTCTTATCTAAAACATGACTAATTGGGTTAATTACATTTATCATCATTACAATTTTAATGTAACAAATTTGGTGCATGGAGGGGATGAGAAACAAGAAATGAGAAGGTGACTCACAGGTCGTGGGATTGGCTTAGGTTGGGTAACAGATATATTGGATGAGGATAGAAATGACACGTCATCATCTGATGAATGGTCATCTGTATATCCCATTGCTGAAGGACCACTTCTAGCTGCCCTTAGATAAGACCAAGTTGGTGGTGTGCTGCTTCCAGCCAGAGATCTGGCGGACCTGCCAAAATAAAAGGATAAAGTTTATTCTTTTTTTTTTTTTTTTTTTTTTTTTTTTTTTTTTTTTTTTGTTGTTTCTTCAATTATCCAAATAGCACAAAAAAAATGGTGCAGTAAATAAATATATTACGTGTAGTAAAATTTTCTATGGGACTGAGCTATGGGGCCACCAGGTATTGGAATTCCTGATTCATCTGCTGGCTTAGGAGACTTCGAAGGTTCTTTCTCTTCTTCAACCTTAGAAAAACATAATTTGTTAGAGAATTCAAACTATAAAACTACAGATTTTCTGTGTTGCAATTAGGGGTGGGCAGACATTGACGCTGTGTTTGGTTAGGAGATTTGGAAAGGAAAAATAAAAAGGTGTGTGAAATTAAGTAAAATGCGATACCTCCATTTCACCTAACTTTTTTCTTTTTCTTTTCAAATCTCTCTCAGACCTCTCAACCAAACACAGTATGAAGATGCACGGTTTGATTCTGAGCTTAAAAAATGACTAATTTGGCTAGATCAACTTGGTTTTTGGGTGAGAATAAAAATGACATGAGAATCAATCATATGTACATTTTACACAATTTTTTTATATATAATTCCAATTTACATATTACTCCATAAGATTGTAAGCATTGAACCCAAAATCAATTTGCATAGGCGGAGTGACTTCTAGATTATAAGCACCAAATTTGGATGAGCTAGAGAGAACAAGTCAATAATCATCCTTGTAATAAAATTCAGTCATCAACAATTTCACTTTACAAAAAAAATAATATATATATATATATATATATTATTTCACAACAAGTATTTAAAAATTTTGAAATTAGTAAAAAAAAGCAATGTTTCAACCTGAATCAACTCAAATTAAAACAAATGATGTTTGATTCCGAATGATGGTCAGTTCAATTCTGGATGAAATAACTTAAAAAATTTGTGAAGGCTGATTCAATTTTGTATTTTGACTCTAACGCGAACCAACTCAATCCATGTCCAGCCCTATTTGCCAAGTATGTATTATTAATAATAATAAAGAAGGTATAAGTTGCATAAAGAAAATGAAAATAGTACCCGTTGTTGACTATGCCTAATCTGTCGGCACTTCCACCAGCTATAGAAGTGATCATAGTAAATGGTTTGCAACACCAGTACTACCGTACTTGCCGTGTACAGCTGTAAAATATTTACAAATGCCCACTTCAATTTCAAGTACATGTCCAAAAAAATAAAAGATGATATAGAAATTGAATCGAATGTTTATCTATGAACAATTATTTATTTATTATTTGAACTTATCTGCTATACTTGAGTCGGTTAGCAATTCTACAATCTAACACAGAAAATGAGAAGCAAGGAGGAAAGTGGTAATACCAGTGCTGTGTAGTACTGAGTCGGCAACTGCAACCACAACATAAAAGTTAGTAATTTCACAGACAGATAGATAGAGACAGAGGAAGTTTTAATGAAGATGCAGAAGCATGATTTACACTTTTACACAAAGCGTTACAGCTCTGAGTGGTGAGACCACCACTTTTATTTATTTAAGTTTTAGAAATTTTCTGCAAAAATTAACTGTACTATTTTTTCCTAATTTTGAGTTAAAAACTAACAGGAACATATATTATATATACCGTTGCAGGCTCGAGAAGGCAACCCACTAGATTGAAAATGTCACTGCATCAAAAAGAAAAATACAACCAAAGTTAATTTTGCAACGTTGTGTTTAGTTGAGAGATTTAAAAAAAAATTAAAAAGGAAAAGAGAAAATGTAAGTAAAATATAAATAAAATATATTATATTTTATCTAATTTTACACACCTTTTCTTTTTTCGTTTTCAAATTTCTCTCAAAATTTTCTTTCTAAACACAACGTAAGAGTTGATTGGTAAACAGCATAAAATAAAAAATTATAAAAAAAAAAAAGAGAGAGACGGCAAAGGGCCCAAATCTGCCCACCAAACGCAAGCAAGGATCCCCTCCTTTCTTTCTCTACTTCACTCCCTCCTCCCTCCTTACAATGGACAAGATTCATCTTAAAGAAATTCAATGGTTTAGATCATTCTAAAAAAATTACTTTTTAACTTTTAATTTTTTTTAATAAAGTAATTTGAGTTGTTAGATTATTTTTAAATAAATCTTAACTATTGTAAGGAAGGAATTAGGTAGAGATCAGAACGAGCGAATCCTTGCTCACCAAACACATCTCAAGAGTTTGATTTGTAATTAGCATAAAATAAAAAATTATATATAGAGAGAGAGAAAGAAAGCAAAGGGGACGTCAGGAGTCAAATCAGGAAGCTAGCACTTGCTATTTATTTTCTAAGAGTGGAGAGGCAAACTCTTACCGCTAATTTAGAGTTGGGATTCCCTCTTTGCAACTCTTTTTTATAATTCTTCTTGCAGTGGCTAAGATTAGTTGTTGCAACATTTAATGATTGATTTTAATTTCTTTAACAGCTGATCTCAGTTGTTGGTTATTGCAACAACTGATCTCAGTCGTTGCAAGGAAGATCGCAAGGAAGAGTTGTAAGGAGGGGATCTGGACTCGCTAATTTAACCATTAACGATTTTCATCGATAAAAAAAAATTAAAAATAAAATAAAATAAAAAGGCAAAGGAGAAGCAACGAACCCGGCAATCCAAGTGAGGAGAAACAAAAGAGAGACACCATGGCTGGACTTAGTGCGGAAGTTGGTGATAATCTGTGGGATTTCTGCAACTCCCCAACACACCAGACTGACCATCCCAAAACCGAAAGATAACTCATCGTTGAGATTACATAGGCAATCCATGAAGTACTTCTCAACCCACCATACACAAGGCTTCTTCTCCTTCACACAATATGCAACTAAATTCCCCAAGGCCTTCATATCTCTCTCTCTCTCTCTAATGAGCAAGTGTGTGTTGACGCCGGAGTTTACAAGGTTGAGATAATTTGCAAGTAGAGAACTTGTTAGAGGTTTTAAAGGATGGATCTCTATGGCATGAAGGCTGTGGTGGTCAAGTATAAGGATGGTGTTTTGCTCATATATATACTGGGCTTGGTACAAGAGTATTCAAGAGCTAAAACTCTTGTTGTCCGTACTCAAGTAGATAAGGTGAGGAGAATATATCACGCTTGTTCCGCATTGGAAGTATGTGTATCAAGTGTGAGGGGTGGATTATAATTTATATCGATAATCTTAGAAATATTAGTTATTGTATCATAAATTGGAAATTGTTACAGTCTATTGTATGTCAATATTGCCTTAGAAACTACCCAAAACAAATGCACCTAGGTGCATATATGATATGCATCTTATCACAAAATGTATAATCTCATTACAAATTGACTTAATAAAAATAATATAACCAAGCAACAAACTTTTACAATATCGCAAAACAAGAATATCATAACCAAGCCATAAATTTTTACATCAATTTCAAAATTTAAAATATTTTATTACGCTAATTTTTTATTAGATTAGATACTTTGTAATTAATATTATAAAATTTTATGATGAAATTATATATTTTTATGATAAAGTGCACCTAACCATAAATTTCCCATTCGCAAAATTGAAAAAACTACACAAAATACATTAACAAATTTCAAAAACGCATGTGTGTATATATATATATATATATAAACCGCCCCTACATCAATATGGGATTAGTACTAAAATTTATTGGTCAGTCTTCAGGTATTGCCATGTGGTGTTCCACATGTGTTTTGATTGGTGGAAATATATGATTCATGATTTTATATTGAGTAATTAAGAAAAATAATAAGATATGAGGGTTTATGATTGGTTAGAAATATAATTACATAGTATCCCTGGGCAACCCAATAATAATAA